GCTTTATTGTCTTTAAAGCTTAACTACTACTATCGACATTCATCTAGTCCGTTGTCGTCCAGCGGTTAGGATATCTGGCTTTCACCCAGGAGACCCGGGTTCGATTCCCGGCAACGGAAGAAGTTTCTCTCACCTTTTCCCTTTTTCAAAATAATTTTTTATTGTTTTGGAGAGACTGCATAAAAATGTGAAATAAATCAAATGGAAGAAGCTTTTTCACTTTTCTGGTTTTTTTTTTTTTTCGGAGGGACAGTATAAAAATAAGAAGTGAAATAAATCGAATGTGATTCAATCCATTCCAAAATCAAAATTTTTTTCTTTAGATAAAACCGAATTATTTGATATTATTTCCCGTTGTCAACAATGTATGAATCATCCACAACAGTAAAGTGACAATTTTCTCAGGAAAGATGATTCCCTAGACAGAACGATCAAGTTCACAATGCTCTTAAATAAAGGTTTCTTGAACGGAAACAATTAATTGAATCTCAGATTTTTTTTTCTACTTGAACTGTCAAGAGATACATAAAAGAAGAGGAAAGTTGAGAAAAATATAGAACAAAAGGTTGTGGGGGCCAAAAGACTTAAATTGTACGCCTCATTTCCTTTGAGCTTAATGAGGACAGAATAGGACCCACTCACCCATCAGCTCTTGACAAAATGGATGGCCAAGAGTTTTGAAACGGTGAAGCCGTTGAAAGAGTCAACATCAAAGAGTTCCTTCAGCTTTTCATCGCATATCACTCTCCTCTTGTCGGATGGATCCTTCACAAACAACCAAATAACAGTTTGAAGTCTGTTTAGGTACATCTTCACAAGAAAAAAACAAGACATTTCAAAGCTAACAAGGATAATGAAAATTTTTTAATATGTTTTCTTGGGGGTGGGAAGAGGGGTGGTGGTGAATTATAACCAAGTACCACATACCTGGAGGTTGTTTTCTTTTATGTAATCCCACATTCTCTTTATAACATTTGCCCGTGACAATGCACTCTCTCCAGTACCAAGGAACTTCACTAAAGCATCTGAAAGTTGAAGAGGAGCAAGAAAACCTGATTTTCCTTTCTCAGTACTTTCTCCCTTCTGTCGCTTTTCCTTTCTCTTTGGTTCATCTGAATCTGACATTGGAAATATAAAAGAGAAAGTATGAATCTAAACAAGTAATTGCCTGATGCTCATTGTAATTCAATACAACCACTCAGTTAGCCACCATGAACATACACCCTCTGAGTGTGTGCACATACAGAACCAGAAAGTCCTTGATATGAAGATGAGATGAAGTAGAGAAGCAGGATTCTGAATCTAAACTAGAGAGTAAAAGAAAAGGTCAATTTGAGATGCAAGACACTTCTATCACTTCACTGGCCTACAAGTTCTTCGTGCAAGCCATGCTAATTACAGATCTCCAGAATAAATTATAGATATTAATGCAGTGCAACTTCTTCAAGACTGAATTATGAAATCATGTAAAAAAAACTGAATTTACGATCACTACCTTCTTCTCTCTCTTGCTTATGTTGCCTTTCCTTCTCTGTTGACTTGACTGGACCAACTGTACCATGAAAGCCAGTATAAATAATATTTAAAGTTAAACAACAGCAATAAGCAGCATTTGTGGCAACTGATTGTGTAACAACCATCTTCTTCCTCTCTATATATATTTTTTAAAACTCATGTAAAATAATGCAGTGGGTATATCTCACTGTCTTTCATGACTAAAAGAAGGATAACAAGAAGAATTTGGACACAGATATACTCCTAACATTTATAGCTACTGCACAATTCCAGGGTGATGAAGGAACCAATGGTTTGGTCAATGGCGTAGACAACCAGAAATTTTTCTCACAACTTAATGATGTAATTGTAAAGAAACATACAGAATTACTGATCCCCAATTATATTTAATTATGAAACATTTCAAATGATACCACTTCAGAGAAGATATGAAGGAAAGAAAAAGGTAGAAGGGTACCATCATCTGAATCCAGGGGCCAGATATGCTTTGATAGGGCCTTATTCATCTGAAACATATCAATGGATTGAACACCAAAAAGAGCGCGCAATGGTTCGTCACAAATTATGGTTTTCTTGTTGGCTGGATCTTGCAAATTCTTCTCTCTAATATAAGCCCATATCTGCTTGACCACCTTATACCAGTATATAAAATAAAATTTACAACAATGATGAATAACTAGGTCAATTTTAACCGACAAAAAGGCCAAAAGAAACTTCACAACTTTCTCCATGTACCTCTGTCCTAGCCAGTGCTGGCACTCCTAACAAATCCTGAAGTTGTGGAGAGAGACTAGATAACTTGCAAAAACCACCTGCCTTTCTCTTGACTTCATGATTCCGCTCTTTTGACCTAAATCATATGACAGAGCAACACAACCAATAAAAAAAAAAAAAGACAAATCAACAATAAAATGATAAACTAGCAACTACAATATAGACCACTTTTAAACTGCTGTTCAGAAGGCTATTGCAATAACCCTCATATTCTTGCAGCTTCCATGCCGTAAAAAAATGAGATTTTGTTGCTCTGATCTGACTATAGTCCATATAAATGAGAGAAGTTAAGGAAAAGTAAAAGCAAAAGAGATGTACACCCTCTATTTTATTTTTTGATAAACCCTCTATTTTATAAACATGGTAATTAAGTAAAATGGTCTCTTTCAGTGGATGCCTAACATTTAGAGCATGAGACTTTGAAGTTGGTGGTCTCAAGTTTGAATCTTGAGACGGGCAGGGCTATTGGTTGCATAGCCCACACTTGATGCACAAAAAAAAGTAAGAATTAGTATTTAAATACCTTAGTTGTAGAGCAAGAAATGGGCAAAGAGATTAGTGAGCGAGCAGTTTCAGCCACTAATCCAATCAAAGAATGGAGAATTCTAAATTTAAATATTTTCCATTTTCAGGTCCTATTTTTTGAGTGTTAAAGAAAAGATATGGAGTGCTGCTACAGCGTTCATCACCATTATATGCCTGCATGATGCAATTACAGTCACAAGAGACAAACTAAACTGGTGATAAAAAGAACAACAAAGAAAAAAAATGATGGGCTTCTAACTAAACATACATAAGTAGATGATCAAAAGAAATCTTTTGCCAACCAGAGCTTCAACATGCTGCATGCATACCACTAGCACTGGGAGACAGAAATTTTTTTCATGCCAACTTAACCAATACAGGTTTAACAGAGGTTAAGTTGTATGAAAATCTTTCATTTTGTAAAGTAAAAATAAAATTCAGTCCACTTCAAAACAAATGGACAAAAGGTATTCAGAGAAAACCAGAGGATAATCATATTCTGGTTAAATTAAATTTCATTTTGTTTCTGGGACATAATTTAGTTAGGCTGTAGCAGCATGTTCCACCTCGATGACAGACAGAGTTGGATTATTAAAGGACCTGTTCATATTAGCAGAAACAGGATCTATCAATTTTGGGCATTCAGAAAAACTCTTTTCACTTGTCTAATATAAGTACAGAAAAAGGAAAAAAAAAAAACTTTTTTTAAGAAAAAATTATAACAGATATTTAGAACCCAATTAAGCTTTGCTGTTATACAAAGCAAAGAATAACATCAACACTCACAGGACTCCAAACCCACAACGCACGCAAACTTAGCAATAACTTGCATTACAGAGCAGGAATTAACTTTAATGCGAAAAATATAATCCCATTACAAAATTTCATTAGATAAAATCCATCATCATACGAAATAAGTTTTCATATTATTATCATCAAAATAACATCAATTAACTGATCAAGACTGTGTGTAGAAACATGTAATTATAAATTAACTGACCGTTTTTTTGAGGAACGCTTCCCTTTATTCGTCCCTTCATTGTCACCAGCATCGACACCGTTATACGTCGCATCAGAGCCACCGGATTCCTCTGATTTTACCTTCTCAATCTGGTCACCATCCTCCTCCTCCTCCTCCTCTTCTTGTTCTTCCTCTTCAGCATTCTCGACCTGAGTTTGAAGATATAAATCAACTTGCTCTCTGATAAACTTCTTCTTCTCCGACAAATCGACTCCGAAATCCTCCTCCAATTTGCGCCGTACGATAGCGGTGGTGGTCGTGTTCAGGTCCGATTCCCGGAGAAACTCACGAAGCCTGGCAATTAGCTCCGAGTCCGAAACCATTTTTCTCAGTCTACCCTCACCGTTGTTACTCTTTCTGTGCGGTTTTCGCGTATCGGTTTCAGGAATCGGCGGTCGTGGGACGGCGGAGAAGAGGAGGAGATGAAACTTGGAAGGACAAAGGTGGGAATTAGTGAAAAAGGTTGGGTTACCCGTTTCTCGTTAGACTAGAATTAGATTTAGGGTGGGGCCTACACAATTGCACTCGTGGGTCATAAGCATTTTTAATACAGTCTACCTGATATGGCAGATATACCCTCAGCCTGACCTTGTAATATCATTGTTAAGGCCTACAGAAGTACCTACTTTATAGGTTGGGAATATGGACATTTTACTATTAATAGTCACGAGTATGGATGGGAGATTTTTTTTTTTTGATCGATATTACATGGGACGGGTTTGAACTTCTGCGCAAGGGGTAAGGGGAGTGCATCTTCAATGTAATCGGAGACCATTTGACCCGAAGAATCAGATGAGAGTATGGATGGGAGATTGAAAGAGATAAAGTTGAGAAATAGATAATCTCTGACATATTTAATAGTGACATTTTTTTTTTCGCTGCCTGAGCTGAAATTGCCAAAGGAGGTTTTCAAGTACTTGCTCACCGATGCCTAAGAAAAAGGAAGGACTCGACAGGTCGAGTGCCTTTCCGATACTTAAATCAAGTAAGGTCCGATGAAGGTGGAGGAGAAGAAAAAAAAAGTCTAGGAGAGAAAATGGACTCAAAAGGAGTTATCTTTAATGAAGTGAGTAGGCCTTTTTATAGTGCCTTTCTTAATTTGTTGCGCAATAGGTGAATTTGCTAAGTTACTTATATTATAGGTTTTCTATGTACCAAAATAGAACAAGTGGCAAATGCAACATGTCTTATAAGTAAAACACATAAGCATAAAATAAAAAAAAGATAAGCAACATGTTTTGATAGTCTGTATGTGGTGTAACTTAATAGTTTGTGTATGTATTGTCTAACACAATGTGGATCATTTGTTCTTTATGCCTTATTTTTTGCTTAACCTTAATGATTAAGCTGGCATAATAGTTTCACATGAAGTAGCTTAATTACCAGCTACATAAATCTTGATTGAAATAACTCATCAGTTAAAAATTGAATAATCTTTTAAGTATATAGTTTTATCAAATATTTTATAAAAGTTTTCTCAAGGTCAAACTAAACTAACAAACCTTATCTATTTTAATTATTTCACGAGAGACATAGATTAGTGAGGAGTCAGCACATGTACAATTGGTATTTAGCTAGTATCAAATAAATATGATATGGTATCACATTTTGATATTTTTACAATGTATTTGGATTGAAAGAAGTGAAAAGAAGAGAAGAGAAAAAATTCATTTATTTAGTTATCAAAAGAATTGAAGGGAGGGGAAAAGAAAAAAAGAAGTTTTTACTTTATTCTTTATTTTAATTTATTTCCTTATTCAAATAAGGGGAAAGGAAAGAGAATAGAAAGATATAAACATCTTTTTATTCTCTTCCCTTCCGTTGATCAAACAAAAACTTCTTTTTTTTCTATTTTTCTCAATCCAAATACATGATTAATGTCAAAACATCACAAAATTTCCTAAATATACACGTCTCCATTTTATTCTTTCCACTTCATAAATTGTTCGTTGAAAATTATATAAGAAAAAATAGTTGATCTCTTCTCCTGTATGTTCCTAAATTTAAAACTCATTGCAAAGTACTAATTATTAAGGAATTCATATTTTAGAGGCTAGATTAAAGAATTAAAAGTAAAATTTAATTTGTAAAATTATTAAAGTGTTTTAAAAAAAATAATATAATTTTTTTTATTAAAGATATTTTAATAGATTTATAAGTTAAATTATACTTTTAATGTATAATTTAATTTATACAATATTTTTTTATTAAATAAAAATATCTTTTTTAATTTAATAACTATGTTTTGTAATATAATACAATTCAAACTATAAAATATTTTTTTTATCATCTTGATAGGTGTTTTATAACTTGTAGCATTGTAAATATATTGATGGAGTTAGAAATTTTTTTAGGGGGAAAAATGCAACCTTAATAAATAAGAAACGGTAGCTACTTATGCATTAATTGAAAGGACAATGAAAGGGAAGACTTTTTTTTTTTTTTTATCTAAATACGTTTGAAATAAAAGTTTTTCGGTTTCAAAGATAGACTAACGATGTATGGAGTTAGAAATTTTTTTAGGGGGAAAAATGCAACCTTAATAAATAAGAACGGTAGCTATTTATGCATTAATTGAAAGGACAATGAGAGGGAAGACTTTTTTTTTTTTTTTTCTAAATACGTTTGAAATAAAAGTTTTTCGGTTTAAAAGATAGACTAACGATGATGGAATCATGTTATAAATGACACTAATAATTTATTGGTTTGAATGGAAAGAATTTGGTTTTTTTTAAATAAAATTTTGAATTTGAATCTTATGAATAGAAAAATATATACTGAAAGAGCTTTTTTCTTATAAGATCTGACGCGACCTGATTTCATATTAGTTAAGAATTAATGTGGTTATCAAATAGTGAGAGGTTAATAAAAAAAAATCATGTTATAAATGACGTCAATTGAAAAACATAAATAAACATAAAA